CCAAAAATGGAAAGAGGAAGAAAAAAAAAAGAGAAAGATTAATCTTTTTTCCATTTCTCTTAATGGAAAAAGATGTAATCTTGCCATTCAAAGTAATCCATTGTCTTCCAGTGAAGAGCACCAATGGCCCGGTTATTACTCACAGATTCAGGAAATAACTGTTGTTGGCTCTGAGAGGAACCCCTTCTTGGAGCCGGTGGTTTTCCTTAGCTGTGGCCTCGTCCCCTGTCCTTCCCAGGCTGTTGATGAGTGAGGACCGCCTGCTGACGGCTCTTACTCCAGTCCCACCTCTGAGAAGCCAGGTTTGTGCGGGCTGAGCATCTGTGATGTCCTGCAGGTGACCCGTGGAGCCCCAGCCATGCCTCACTCCTGCCGGTGCTCGGGTGATCTGTCTGCATTTAGTGGGGAGCAGGTGGTGGTTACCTCAAGCCTCTCTTTGGTTTCGTTCCATCATATTCTCCCTGGCTCAGAGCACTTTGGGAGCCTGCCTTGCCCCGCAGTTCCAGTGGGAAGTCGGGCTGACGTCATCCTCTGGGTGTAATCTAGGAAGTGATTCCACGCTGTGGGCCACTGTCTTCTCTTCCAGGTCCTCCCCCTCTAGGAAAGTGCTTCTATCTCTTTCCTAAGTGACAAGAAGCAATGCCTCCATCTCCACGAATTGAATAAAATCTCTGGGCTCCCAGGTCTTGTAGCCCTGGTTCTTCGGAACCAGTCTGCCTGTTTCGTACATCTTACAAAGTGTCCCTGGCCTCCTGCACAGAAGCCTGAACGCCTTGACCCTCGCAGTGTTTCACAACTTAGAAGCTGACATGGACCGCTTGGTTCACTCCCAGGCTCTCTGCTCCCTCTGTCATAGGGAGACTTACTTGGTAGAGCGCCCCGGGGTAACCACGATACCCCAGAATGAAAAATGTGTCAGGAAGCATTTCAGAATGTTGTACTGCCACAAGGGTAAGCCCGAGTTCTGATTGTTGTTCATGGACAAGTTTGTCTACATCCAAGGAGTGTGCTTGGTAGCAAGGCAGGGCAGAAAGGGCGCAAAGGGACTCCTTCTTGGGGTCTTCCTCACGGTCTCATGAGATGTTCCTTGTGTAGTGTTTATCCACTGGCGCGGTGATATGTGTGCTGGTCGCTGCCTCTCTGGGAATATCAAAGTGGGCAACATGCTGTGGCCTTTGCCTGTAATGAATGAAGTGAGAAGTGAGTCATGTGTCTGTTTCCTGATAAGTTCAGTGTGTGTGTGTGTGTGTGTGTGTGTGCACGTGTGTGTGTGCGTGTGTGTGTGTGAGAGAGAGAGCATGCACATGTATGCGCTTACATGTTGTCTTGGACAGCTGTCTCCTACTGTATTTTGGTCATTGCAGGTGGCTGATACGTAAGTGGGAGGGAAAGCTAGCTAGTGAGCCGCACAGTGAGTGTGAGAACCTGCACGTGTCTCAACAGCATCACAGATTGTGTGGAAGGTGACCTAGAGTGAGGTAGACCATGGTGTGAGGTCTGGAACCTTGGTGTTTCTGTCTGGCCTGATATCTGCCCCGTGACCTCTCCCAAAAGGGAAGGTTGGTGCAGGGCTCGCTGTTTGCCTCCTGCCTGGACAGTGTTTGAGGAGGTGGCTTTCAGAGCCCATGAAGTCTGTTCCACCTGCTCCTCCTCAGTCAGGTCTGCTAGTGGCAGGGCCGTGGAAAGAATCTGGCTCTCTTACGTGCCACCCTGAAGCAGTTGTTCCTCAGAGATGTGGACCTTGACTCACAGCCCCAGGTTCTTGGTGTGTGGCCCTGCCCACCTTCATTAGGAACTGAGTGGCCAAAGTCAAAGTGGAGCATCCTCTGTTGGAAACTCGGTTCCCTGGTGCTTTGCCATTACTGAATGTTACTCTGTAAAGCTTAGGACAGTGAAGCCAAGCCCCAATGTTTACATTAGTCTCCGTGGCTGCCATCAGGGTAACAAAAGGGATTTACTGACTGGCTGGGCTCAGGTCTCTCCAGGAAGGAGCCATCTAAGTCCATGAGCATCCAGAAGGTCCAGGATGTCTCTGTGGATAGACCCGATTCCAAGAGGCTGTCAGCCTACAGGTCGCCCGAAGGGTGGGGGCTGCCTCTCAGCAGAAGGAGAGGCTTCATCACCTCTGCTTCCTCTTCCCCCAGCAGCTGAAGCTCCGTCCACTTCCAAACATGCAGGGAAGGCTATGGTGCTCATGGTTCTCAGTTCCCTCCCCCAGGCTGACAGGATCTGGAAATTTGAAAAAGAATAACCTACATTGCAAGACGTGCTTAAACAGGTCCTGGAGCCATCCTTGGCCAACCACAGGAGTACCCGGATCATCCACTGCCATTCTTTCTCCTGGCTTTTCCTCTTGTTGGCTTTATGTGAACCCCATATGTGAGGACGGAGTACAGTCTCTTACAGAGTCTCAACTCTGCACAGTCTCAAGGTTACAGCTCTATTGCTGTGAAGAGACACCACGACCCACGGCAACTTGTCAAAGGAAACATTTGGGGCTTGTTTACAATGTCAGAGAGTTGGTCCATGACCACCGTGGTGGGGAACGTGGTGGCAGGCCAGCAGGCATGGCACTGGGACACTGGCTGAGAGACTGCATCCTGATCTGCAGGCAGTTAGCAGAGAGAGAGAGACTAGGCCTGGCAGGCACTTCTGTGACCCAAGCCACCCGCAGTGACACTCCTCCTGCAGCAAGGCCACACCTCCTGATCCTTCCTAAACAGTCCACAAACCAAACGAGCTACCTAAGAGCAGTATAAAGAACCAACCCGTCTATGTAGCAAAATAATGGGATGACTCCAGACATTCAACTGTGTGAGCCCTGTTCAGACCACCACTGGCCTAGCAACAAGGGGAAAAGGAAACAAACATGGAAACCATAAAATTGAACGGCAGAGGGAAAGCTTATCAGAGATTTCAGCCGGGATATTGGAAATTGGTTTTGCTCTGGGAGCCCGCACTTCCTTCTGGAATGATCTCTGCTGGCTCTGGGTTTAGGAAGGAGCCTTGGGGACCCTTTCATAGAGGAGGCAGTTGTTGGTGGCAGAGAGAGTCTCCCCATCTCTTTTTGGATGGCTGATTTCCAACTAATGCCTATGGCCTTCCTTTGTGTGCACAGCCTGGACTGGGGTTAAGCTTCCTCCCAGCCCATCCCTAGAGACAGCCTTGTCTCACCAGTGGTCCATGCTCCTGCCTTTCTCCAACCACAGCATCTTACTTGGCCAAGGCCCTCAGCGCTTGCCTGTCATTACAGTGTCAGCTCCTCACAGGGGACTGTGGGAAACTCTGAGGTTCTGCAGTGACTCCCGGGAGCTGGAGTGGGAAGACATGTCTAACTTTAGACATGCTAAGTCCATTATCTTAAACTCGCCTGGAAAATGCCCTAGATTCACCAACTTATAGGCTCAGGGAATTTGTGGAAAATCTTTAGAATATCTAGGAAACAGAGAAGAAATATTCACCTCCAAAAAGTAAAATCAATGGTGTTTCCAAAGCCTGCTGAAGTCATTTCACCTTTAAGTACAGGCATAGAAACCTTAAAATAGTAGCAAGTGTGATCTTGCCACAGAGTCAAAATGTGGTACTTGCATTACTGTGGCCTTTTCAAATGGCCAATCATTAAAAAAAAATCTCTTAAAATTAATTTTATTACTACTCAGAGGAAAAAAACACCAAGTGTAATCCAGTCAAAATGGAAATTATACAGTGGTATTAACGTTTACCTGAATGATTATAAGACTAGCCAGGAAATTCTATGATGGAATAGTGGCCAGGAGCTTGCTGTACTAATTATTAACATTTACTCAAAGCTATAATATGAAGAGAGAGAGGGTACAGTGACCAAATGGATCAACTGAACTAAACTGAAAATCTCAAAATAGACCCCAGGCTCATGATAAGTGAACGACAAAGCCAGGTGTGCTGGTATACACCTGCAATCCCAACACTTGGGAAGTGGAGGCAGGAGGATCCCTTTGAGTTCAAGGTCAGCCTGGGCTATGTAGGAAGACTCTCAACAATTAGATATAAAAGCAGTGTTTCAAATCAGTAAAGAGAAAGGATCATTTAAAATTTTATAACTGCATCGGCATTATTAAAACATAATAAATTTTTCTCCTCTTTTTGCTAAAATCTAAATGGATTTAAGACAAAAGTTGTAACATGAAAAGATTTAATTGAAATTCTCTAATAAAATTCTGTTCAAAGGGGGTGGAGAGATGACTCAGCACTTACAAGCATTGACTGCTCTTCCTGAGGACCGAGGTTCAATTCCCAGCACCCACATGGCAGCTCAAGACTGTCTGTTACTCTAGGGGTTTTCTGACACCCTCACACAGACACACATGCAGGCAAACCACTGATGCACATAAAATTAAAAGATTATTTATAAAATTCTGTTCGCTAACCATACATGACTGCGGAGGATACACTCTGAATGAAAAGCCTCATTTATCCTCCTTTATTGTCCTGAAATTATATATTCTAAAGCAAAATAGAAAACCTACCACTTACCCAGTTGCCAGCACAGACGGCAAAAATAAAACATACAGACAGATGAGAAGCTGGGAATAGTTTGTACCCGACTTGGCAGATAGGAGGCCAGTGTTTGGAGTATATGAGGGCTTCTAATTTGTTAAAATAAAGGTAGAATATTAAGTCGATGGCAAATGTCCAGCATGTTGGCAACTTCATGTTCATGATGATCAGCACAAGCAGAGTCTGAGCATTCTGGAGACAGGACTGGGGCCCGGTGCTTAGCTTTTCCCCTTGGGCTCCGGGCCAAGCTGAGTGGAGGTGGGGTGGACTCGTATCTGCTCCCTCAGAGGATTGAGAAGACAGGCACTGGGGACAGAGGCTTGCCCGAGGCAGCTGGAGAGCTGAGAGCAAAGGAAGCCAGCACTGGGGTGGGCAGGGCGCAAGCACAGGCTCCTCCCCCATTTCTTGTTTCCGGGTGATTGTCGTGTTAACCTGTACTTTTTGTCCCCGTGTCACATGGACAGGTACTCACATTCCCGCGGACCAACCCTGCTGTCGCGGTCTCTATGACTTTGAGCCAGAAAACCAAGGAGAATTAGGATTTAAAGAAGGGGACGTCATTACACTAACCAATCAGATAGATGAAAACTGGTACGAAGGAATGCTGCGTGGGGAATCTGGCTTCTTCCCCATAAATTATGTGGAAGTCATTGTGCCTTTACCTCGGTAAATGTGTCCGTTGGACCTGATTTCATAACTGAAATGAATTTGCACCCGTGTTCCCTCGGTGTGATGTTCTGTGACACCCTCCCTCTCTGGCCCACTTACTCACTTTTATATGTGTGTTTTCTTTATAATGTATTTTGCATCAATTTAATTTGTTTAATCGATTTCTTTGTCCTAACTCATAAAGATAGTTTTCTTCTTGTTCTAGAAAGTCATTGGTTAAATGTATTTGCTTCCTGTTGCTAAGAAAAGTGAATTGCGCCCATTACAGATACGTGAACGAATGGCCTGCTGGTCCTTAGCTGCAATGGAGCGCACCCTTTGCGGCTAAGAAAGCTAACGAGTTTGTTTCTTGAGGTTTTGATGGCATCCCGTCTTTTCCTGTTTTAAGCTTACCTGTGAACAGCCCAATAAACATGACACACTGTGTTCATAAAAGACTACGGCTATTTTTTATGTGAAATTGCTTTTTAAGCATGGACTTCAGCACAGATTCCTCCTGTGTCCCTTGGCCGACCCGGGTTCCCACGCGGGGTCCTTAGACGATGGCTGTAGATCAGTGCCAGTAAGTGCGGGTGTGGCTCTTTATCTGCCACCTATTTAAACGTGCTTTGTCCTTTCCTCAGCCCAAGACTGGAAAACCTCCTCGCCTAGTGTTAAGTTTATAAAGCAGCTCACATCAGCCTTGTCTGCCATCACACATGGGCAGGGATGTTTTCAAGCTGTCCCATTGTGGATGCTGAGGCAGGAGCATGGTCTCTTGGGCCTCCGATAACTTAGGTTTACGGAACAGACTTGGCCTTACCCTGAGTATGACTTCATCATGTGCTGTGGCTCAGTGGAGTCCACAACAACCCTGCCGCACAAAAAGAGGCAGCCATTGCTCCCCTTTGCAGAGTGGTCACCCAGGGTCAAACAACCAAATCGTGGCAGAAGCAGAATTTGAACTCTTGACTGTGTAGTGGATGCTGGCATCCGAGTGTCTGTCAGTCACTGGGACCTGCCTTGTTGATCCCTGGCATTTGTAACCAAAGCCCAGAGGCCACATTGGTCCCCCCAAGAAGATGACCTAAGTTGTGTTTCCTAGTCTCCTGAGCTCCCTTTCTTAACAGGTTCGTGTGCGTATGTGTGTGTCTGGGGGGGGGGTGGGTGGGCGTGCATACACACGCACACCCATGCCTTGTACATTCAGTGTCTATTGGAAGTGGTAGTTCTGAACATTTACGGGATATTTATTATATGCCAAATGCTGCTCAAAGCAGCTTCTGCGAAATGGGCACACAGCTATGCTGTCCGCCTGGTGTCCTTCTTCAGATACTAGGATTGCATCACAGAAATGCCAGGTCACACAGTCAAGTGTCGGAGCTGAAATTTTAATTCACAGTCGTTTCCCATGCCCATGGTCTTCACACTTACAGAATGTCTCTCATGATATCTTTTCTCCCTGTAAAATCACAAACAAGCCTGTTTTTCTACCCGGCTTTTATTCGTGGTTTGCTTTATTGGAAATTTACCACGAGAGACCCGGCGGCCCTCCCCATGCTTATAATTTACTGGAATAGCTTGTTTAGAGGAAATAAACAGTAATTGGACTTCATTGAGAGCTACAGATTAATTTCTAATAATAACTGAAAAAAATCAGCAATTTATATCCGATCACTTTAAAGCAATTAAATACAGGACTTGGTTAATGGCCAGACAGCTGCTGAGGAGGGGCAGTGACAATGCCTGTGTCGCGTTGTGTCTTCCACGGGCTTTTGGCTTCAGCTCTTTGGCAGGGTCCCCTCTCTACGTGATGTCTGTGGAGAAGGCTGGCAGATAACATCTGGGGCCTGGCACGGGCTTGACACCAACTGCTTCGGGCCAGCTGTCAGAGAGAGGTTTTTCTTGTGAGCTCCTGTCTCAAGGCTCTCACAGCTTTCTGGACTCTGCTCTTCCCTGGTTTGTTCCTAATGCCTAAAGACTGTGAGCAAAAGCTAGCTGAGGAGGGAAGGGGTTATTTTATCTCACAGACTATCTAGGTCATCATGGTGGGATCAGGGCAGGAACCCGGGGCAGGAGCTGCAGCAGAGACCTAAAGGAAGGCTGCTTACTGGCTTGCTCAATCTGTTCTATTATAGAAACCTAGGACCATCAGCCCAGGGGTGGCATTGCCTAATCTCTTGTGGGCATTTTCTCAACTGAGGCTCCCTCTCTCCCGATGACCCTAGCTTGTGTCAGCTTGACAAAGTAAGGAGCACACAGCCCGGCTTGCACTGAGTTTTCTGTTCTCATTGTTAAGAAAGTCATGTGAATTTTCTTCTATTGGAAAAAGTATCCATGACCTTTCAGAGGGCTAAACAAGTTTGAACATTAAATAGAATTATTTTTCTAATTATAAAAGGCGATGCAAATATATTATAGGACAATAAAGGAAAATACCTTTGAGTGAACAACCCCAAAAGAATTATTGTTGTGGCGGTTTTCACTGTGTTCTTCCCAGATTGCCCTTGTACATTTCTGGATTCACATGTGTACATGAACAGGAGTGTGTATTGTGTTTTCAACTTTGTATGTTACTTGCAGACCTAGGTCCTTGAACTAGCTATGTAATATTTTATTGTGTGGGGGCATAAATTCTAACTAGGTTTCTGCTCTTACACATTTCCAGTTTTCTTGGTCAATTTTAAACTTATTTTACATGGAAATGGGTTAAAAGGACAAGCAAACTGAACTTGGATTTATGTTGATTTGGTGTATTCATTAATTATTAAATTATTAAAGTACCTCTATTTCCTGAAGGTTGTATGATTGTGCTCTTGGTCGCCTTTCCATATTGCTTTCTATGACATTAAGTCAGTTTACATTGCCACCTAGAGTGTCGTGACACGTACACAGAGCAAGAGACAGAAATACACACACACACCACACCACACACACCACACACACACACACACACACAGATTCCGCCTATGTGGTTGTACACAGACTTAGTGCCCTTCCATCTTAACTAAGCATCTTCCATGTACTGTGGCTCTCACGTCTGTCGTCTGTGGTGGGATGGTGAAGTAATTTTGTCTTCACAGCTTCGTAGATTCTACCACAGATTTTTATCAACCTTAGCACCGAAGCCTTGGATCTGAATACCCGGTGCGCATTTCCTACTGTAGGTTCCAGCACTGTGCACTTGCGAACGCCGCCTGAAGCACCTCGGCTCAGATTGGAGCCTGCTTTGCTGTGAATTGCAGTGTTTCTACCGTATGTACAAAGACTTCTGCTGTCCTAGAAACACAGTGGTTTGAGTGCAGAAAGCAAACGCTTCTAATGTCTTCCAATTGTCGTTCCTCAGCATGTAAATATCAAACAGCTACGTCTCTACGCTGTATTGTTGTATTCTGTTACAGTGCTTGATTCTTTTCCTCCTCCTCCTCCTCCTCCTCTTCTTCCTCTTCCTATTCCTCTTTTTCTTCTTCTTTTGACAGAGCTTTTCTGTGAAACAGTCTTGGCTGTCCTAGAACTCACGCTGTAGACCAGGCTGACCTTGAACTCACAGAGATCCACCTACCTCTGCCTTCCTGCTCCTACTGCCCGGTCAATACTTTATTCTTAAAATTGCTGTTTGAGTTCCCGACCTGAGTCTCATTTTTTTTAAAGGTTCAGTAAATTTTTGCTTGAGATTAGAACAAAATTTCCCATACTTTTTGAAATGTCCCTAAATATGTCTGCCATCTCATACTAAATATCTGTGCACTATTTCTCAGCACTGATGATTGTAAAATCAAAGTAGCAACCAACTCTGCGGGGTGTTGAAGATGTCCCGTGTTTGGCAATATTAAACCTTTGGCCATGTTCACATAAAGAAACACGTTCATCTCATTAGCGAGCAAATTTATTTTAACTTCTAGCAACTAGTATAGTAACACTATGCCGAAGAACTGTTAAGAGAGACTTCTAATTTTGATTCGTATACCTATTTTAAGCGCCTATACACCCAAGGTTACCTCAACATTTCTCAGTCAATAGGAGTCTCAGTCGAATGAGTTTGAGAAGCCCTGGTTTAGCTTGTGAGGGGTAACTCAAGACTGGGTGACCAGGGTGGGGGTATGTCACTCACTGATGAGGGGGGCAGGAGAAAAGGAGCAGGCTGAGTGAGGAGGACTGACAGGCAGAAGCTTCGCCTGGGGCAGCTTGGAAATGACGTTCTAGAATAAGGCAGACAAGCCAGCCTGGAGATTTATCTTGGTAGGATCAATATATGGCAGGTAGTTAAAGTCATGGAGTTGGATGGGATGGATACTGTCCATTCACCATCTACCTGTATCTGTTTATCAGGAAAGATATTTATAGATATATCCACAATATATAGATTACTGGTGTAATATATCACACTTAATTAACTTCAAGCTGTGCATGGCTCAGAACATATTTTGTCTCTAAAGAAAGCTTCATTGTATTTTTTAATTACGTGTACATGAGTGTGTCTGTGTGAGGATATGCTCATGTGTGAATGCAGACGCTCTCACAGCACACAAGGGGGAACTGGGTCCCTTCAAGCTGGCGGTGTGAGCTCAGGTCCTCTGCAAGAGCTGTATTTTGCTATTATTCCCTCCCTCTCCCCCCACTCTTCTCCCCCTCCCCCCACTCCTCTCCCCCTCCCTCTCTAATCCAAAGAGCAGTCATGGTTCCCTGCCCTGTGGAAAGTCCAAGGTCCTCCCCGCTCCGTCCATGTCTAGGAAGGTGAACATCCAAACTGGCTAGGCTCCCACCAAGCCGGAACATGAAGTAGGATCAGAACCCCTTGCCATTGACCTTGGCTTCTCATCTGTCCTCATTGTTCGCCATGATCAGAGAGTCCGGTTTTATCCCATGCTTTTTCAGTCACAGTCCAGCTGGCCTTGGTGAGCTTCCAATAGATCAGCCCCCACTGTCTCAGTGGGTGGGTGCACCCCCCGTGGTCCTGACATCCTTGCTCGTGTTCTCCCTCCATCTGCTCCTCATTGGGACCTTGGGAGCTCAGTCCAGTGCTCCAGTGTGGGTCTCTGTCTCTATCTCCATCCATCACCAGATGAAGGTTCTATGGTGATATGAAAGATATTCGTCAGTATTGCTATGGGATAGGGTCATTTCAGGTTCCCTATCCTCCGCTTCCCAAGGGACTAACTGGGGACATCGCCTTGGGCAATAGCCAGAACCTGGAAACAACCTAGATGCCCTTCAATGGAAGAATGGATGAAGAAAGTGTGGAATATATACACATTAGAGTACTATGCTGCGGTAAAAAACAATGACTTCTCGAATTTTGCATGCAAATGGATGGAAATAGAAAACACTATCCTGAGCGAGGTAACCCAGACCCAAAAAGATGAACATGGGATGTACTCACTCATAATTGGTTTCTAGCCATTAATAAAGGTCACGGAGTATATACCTGATGAACCTAAAGAAGCTAAATAAGAAGGTGAACCCAAGAAAAAACATATAGTTATCCTCTTGGCTAAGGGAAGTAGATAAAATTGCCGGGGAGAAAATTGGGATCTTGGGGGTGGGGTGGGTTGGGGATAAGGGGGGACGGGGAGAGAAAAGTGAGAAGGGGAGGATTGGGGGAACTTGGGGAAACAGGAAGATTGGGATAAAGGAAGGTTGGATAGGGGAGCAGGGAAGCACATATCTTAGTTAAGGGAGCCACCTTAGGGTTGGCAAGAGACTTGAAATGTATTTCTTTTTAAAGATACAATCTGCTCAGTCTTTATAATATGGTGTGTTATGGATATGTATGGACCACATGGTACTGGATAACAGATTTAGGAATCTTGTCCAGGGAAGGCTATTTCTCCCACGCTCAGCCTTCCTTGGTTGCTTAGAGTTCTCTGTCCAGGGCCCACGAGGCTTGCCCCTTCCATGTCAGCATCTGCTGGCACTACTCTTGTTCCGATCTTGTTTAGGCTGCCATGTTCAGTGAGACTTCATGGGATATAGCTTCTGATATTTCTAGGAGACAAAACCCTCATGACAAGCCTCCTATTTCTCTGGCTCTTAATATCTCTCCCTCCTTTCTCCTGATATGATCCTTGAGCTGGAGGGGTAGGGGTTATGTTATTAATCGGGGCTGGACACCCACAGGGTCATTTGTTCTCTCCCTTTTTATC